ATCGGGCCCGCTGGGCTGCCCTGATCCTTCAGGATCATTCTGGCTGTCCGACTTGACGAGGAAGGACACGGGGGGCTCCATGTGACTGAAAGGTTACAATTCAGACAAAACGTGACCTGAATTGCACTTTTAGCACAGGGTACATGCGAACGAATCAGTTGCCATTGGATGGCGAGCACAGCAATGGGCGTGCACATTCAGTGTATCCTCATGACATGCATGGTTACGCCCTGACACTCCCACAGGAATGTACATACGTGCGTGAAACCTAGAGGACATAAAATGTCGTGACATACAGGCTGTACTTTGCGTGGGTGAGGGAATTATTTCAGCGATTCCAAAACAAGAGGGCTGTCACATTATCGACCCGTAGGGCACGTGGCAACAGTTTTCACACCACTGCCATGAAGCCTTGTGCGGTTTCGAATCGTCGGACTCTGCCAGAAGGGATACAGCTGGCTTGGTGTGGCTTTGAAATCACGTCTGACACGGTGTCACTGTGTCAGACTGAAAAGATGCCTTACTGATGCAAAGAGAAGAGGAAAGGGATTGGTCCTAGTGGAGAAAAAATGGGCTGGGAGCGTTGGTTTGCTTTCAGGGCGGCATGCCGAGAATGCATGTAGACAATGGACTCCTGTGGTTTTCTCGGACAGGAGACCTGTCCATGCTACAGCGTTGTAAAAAGGAAAACACAGGAAATATCATTCAGAAAGACGTAGGGATGTGTGACAGAAATATCGCAAGGCTTCGCCAAACAGGCCAGCGTGCCCTGGAAACAATGGGGACGTTTTGATTCCAATTGATTCCATTCTTCTTTAATTGGGGCGCGGCGCAAAACGTGTTGTAATTACCCATTGTCTCACCCCCGTGATCATGTATGGTCCAGTAAATGGACCTGAGGGGAGTCTGCTGTACTTTGGGGGTGAACACTGAGCGAGGGCGCATCAGTGAAGATAATGTGTTGTATGGTCTTTTGCAGTAGCTTGTAACTGAGGTGGCAGCCGGCCATGGGGCGCCGTGGGCTGCACGGGGGCAGTGAGGGGCACCATGTTGGATGATTTTGACAGCACATGGAGCATTGCAATAATAGAAGGTAATTGGCGGTCACAATAATCCATTGTCATACTGAACAGCCATGTTTTGATGTTGTATAACATGTCACCCTCATGTTTGTGATGGGACTGGTCCCTGGGGTCCAGTTCCGGAGGTCAAAAGACATGTGCGTGCAATTCTGGTCGTGAGCTGCACTGCGAGGCGCCGTCAGATTTGTGGTCGTCCGAACAATGGGCTGATATCGCTGCGACTGTGGTGTTGACCCAGCCCGATGGTAGGCATGCCCAGGTCTCCGAAAGGAGAGTGAACAGCTCAGGCATGCCTATGTCGGGCTGCAGTCCCATGTGTGGGTCGGGGAGATGGGCAGCTCCCGCGGTCGCCGTTTCACGCGCCGTCAGGCTGGCAGAATCCTGCTGAACGGCGTAAATACGCCTAGGCATGCTGGAGGACGGGCGTATGGTCAGACGGATGCAAATCGTACAAAGGGAGAGGCAGCGGCGGCGGGGGGTGACCTCGCCGCCCATGTGGAAGTGCTCATGGCGGAGATCCATGACAAGCAGCGTCAAAAGAGTATAAAGGGGTTGTCGGGTGTGACCATGGTGGATATGGAATTGGCGGGAAAGGTCGATGCAGGGCATGCACCAAAATGGTGGTGCTGGGCGGATCCAATCAACCATGGTAATGTGTTGGAACTTGCAGGACATGGGGGTGCGGCCCTGTCCTCCCAGGAACCCTCCTGGGAGGATGTTGAAATGCCATTTGGAGGCAGCCCTCTAGAAGATAGGGCCCCATGGGAAGCACTTTTTCAGAAATGTGATGCAACATTGGAAGCTGGTCAGCAGGTTAGGGAGGACTTTGAGGGAATAGTGGGTAGGAAGGGGGCAATCCATGCAGAAATAGTTGATGGGAGAATCAAGTGGTTTAGAAGGACCAAAAAGGGGGAAGAGGTCAGAATACTGCATGGCAAGAGCTCCGAGGAGGAGCTATGCCCATTGTTTTTGCAAGGGCATGGGACATGGTGAAACGGAGCAGCCCCCTCCCTCCCATGGGGCAACTACAAAAGAACAACTTGCAAATATCTGTTGAGTCCTTGAGGTTAAGCAAAGAGTATTTGATGCCAGGAGGGGGGCGAGGCCTGCCAGGAGCGATTCCTGGTGGGAATACCCGAAAGGGGGCTTGAGCTCCATCGTTGGACGGACACACCTCGCTTAGGCAGGTCATATTTTGTTCGGAGTATTGGGTTGACGAAGTGACCACCTGGAAGAGGGTTTCCCTTGAACGGGTGGTTTGGCGGGATTTGCCGGACTATACGTCAGAGTATTCTCACAGGTTTTACACGATCAGAGCTGAGATGGGGATACCCGTAGACAGGTCTACAGTAGGGGCTGGTGATGGGAAGGAAGACGAGATGCCGGGCAGCAGCCGGGGGCAGGCAAAGGGGCCAGATCCGCCACCCGTATCAGACGATCCGTGGGAGCTGGACCTCGATGACGAGTGTGAGAATGACATCCCCCCATTTCTGTGAATAGCTTGGAGTAAAATGTAACTTCTTTTGCCCTGAATTTTTAGGTTCTGTGATAAAAACCCTGAAAAGACAACAAAAACTGAGTTAGGAATGTGCTGACTCTGATTGTGCTTGGATTGGGGTTGATTTCGTGAGCATGGTCGCTGTGCTGAAGACCGGATTATTGTCGTCATTTAACGTACTTTGGGAGATTCTGGGAGGGTTTTCTGAATGGAATGATTGTTGCATTATTGTGTTTGGTGGCAGCGTTGATTGCTGAAAGTCCAGTCAGTTTGGTGGGGGCGGCGCCATGGTTGATGCGCTGAAGATGTCCTGACCGTTTCTGGGCTGTGATATCAGTTGATGTGACTTTTTGTAATTTGATTGGAATTGGCTTCGATCCTTTGGGACCAGGGTGGCCCCTTTGACGTGGATTTTTGGGGTTGCCGGCGGGGCGTGTGCGCTCTCCAGTCCTGGGTTGTCGATCGGTGAGAGTTGATGACCGGCGATGAGCGCGCGGGGCTGAGAGTTGTAAAGACATTGTTGCGAGGGCCTACCAGCCCACATTTCGGTGTTGGTTTCTGTGCTTGTCCTGTGTGTGAGGCCAGCGAACTGGCTAAAGGGGCCTGCCCATGCGGAATGGGTCTTCGCCGCCGGCTCAGGGGGCACCAAAGAATTGTCTTGGGCAATGTGGGATGATTGCATTCCCGCATGGGCGTCGTCATGGCAGTATATGCCGACGATCTGGTGCTGATATACACAGACGGCCATACGGTTATAAAACCACGCCGCCGACAGGCGTGCCGTGGCCTGCACAAGGCTACGAAAGGGCCAATACCAAGGTCCAAAGCGCAAAAGGTCCGCGAGGGGGCAGGTTGGCCTGAAAGGGCAGCTTATTTCGCACGTGGGGCATGTAGATGCCGAAACAGGCAGGGCATGTGAAAAAAACCAGAGCCGGAGGGGCGGAGCGTGCATGTCGATGCGTTGTGATTCTGCCGTGCGCGCCAGAAACTGTAAATTTGTAGTGAAATCTGTCGATTCGTGGCGGGATGCTTGACCCGTAGGCATCAGAAATCGCATACGGTCGAGAGTCCATGCGTAGCTGTGCCATTGCGGTGCTGATGGCGGGCTCACGCAAGCATGTGCTCTTTTATCCGCAACCTCCAGTGGGGAAACGGCGTTGCCGAGCAGGGATCCCCGCGCCATCAACATCTGCACGTGCGGTCAGAGGTAACGATGTTGGCGCGGGCGTTAACAGGACATTGCTACCTCGGTGGAAGAAGACTGCAAGTGCACGAGGAGTACCCGGCACAGCGCCCTCTGTGAGAGGAGTCTATTACACGGGTCACCTCGTTTTCGATTGCTTGGAGCTCGCTGATTTGAGGACGACCTTCACGCTTGCCGTGCCAGCAGTGCACAAGAGGGACCTTGAGTGGATCTCAAGACAAGGATAGAGGGTGCCGATTTAGTTTCTCATGGGTGCAGAAGTGAGGATGCTGGTGTTGTGAGGTGAGACTGGCTGCGATTGGATTGATAGGAAATTGTTTTTGTTTTTCGTGTGTTTTGAACAACTGTGCTTGTGGGTGGATGGGTGAGCTTCTGGGATGATGGATGTACATTGGGGGTAGTGAGGCGAGCGGAATGATTGTGGGGGAGATGCAGAGGAGTGGGTTTTATTTTGATTTTGGATGTCTCAACGTAGAGACGGATAGTCGGCACATGAGTGGGAGAAACACTGTGACAAACAATGGACATACTGTGCTTGTGCGGTTGGGTGGAGGCATAGTCCTCGGTGGCTGACACGCAATTATTGGAATTTCATCATCATCGTCATCATCATCATCATGTGCGCGTGCGGTGAATCTTGCAGCTGTCAGATGACAACAACCGCTGAGTGGGCACGCTCTGCTTTTGCCATTCATCCCCAACGCGCGGAAACGAACTGATAGGCACATCTAATTCGAAGGGGGTACAGTCCGCTCCGCGTTCTTGCACAAATTACAAAACAACACTGTCGTAGTGGGCTAAGAAAAATGCACCCTGCGTCTTGGCACACAGCATGATTTCCTATGGGCGTTGAACCCAGCATATCCACCTGCCAGTCCAATTAAATAATTGTGATGGCACTGCAGGCATGATATGGCCCTGCAGCCCGACGTCGTCGTCTCTTTGGCATTGCAGCAAACGCAGCGTCTGAGGCCACTCGCATCCCCTGACGACCCGCACTATCTGTGGCTCATGCGCCCACCCCATCAGGGGTAGCGGCACACAGGTGCCACATCTGATAGTGCAGAAGCCAACGTCCACAAGTGCCACTACCCAGCCGCCTCCAAGTAGTACAAATCATCCATACATCTGCCCAGATGCATCGGCACATCAGCGTAGATCATGTGCACATATGTATACATATCAAAACTGCACCCGTTGCATCCTTGCAGGAGGGTCACCCAGCTTGGTGCTCAGCCACCACAACTGGAAGCTTCACATGCCCAAGGCCGCAAAACGCACAACGCCAAAATAGATTTGGATCTGAACAGTGGGCAACGCGGTGACGACAGAGTCCACCAATGCACAGATACCTATCCAGCCCAACACCAATCGACACCGGCCAGCCTGCCTTTGCCTCTCGTCGCTCTATGCATCGAAACAGAGGACGCAGGGACCAGAACTCGACGCTGCATGCGCCCAGCATATTTGCAGCACAGCTGATGTTTAGCAAGCGCCGCTTGCCAACATGCTGCTGGACATAAGCGCACAGGAATGGTCCTCTCCACTTTGCAAAATCGTTGTATGCGCTGTCCATGTCCCAGTGCGATCAACGAGTAGGGGCCTGCAAAATCACAGGTTCTGTCAGACAGGTTGGTGACAACACAACACAGTACGCTCACCTTGTTGTACTGCAGCTGTACACTCTGATACAAATACTGATGCTGTGACAGTGGTGGCCGCAGTGTGCTTATTCATCCCTGAAACTGACAGCAGCTGCACTCCACTTGCCCGATGGCATGTTTCAGTCACCAACAATCCCTTACACACGGGTGGATTGTGATAATCCATTCGTGTGTGAGGGACTGTTGCTGACAGGTGGTGATAATCACCATCTGGAATGGTGGGCCACTGCCCGTCAGTGGAACATAAGCCCAATAGGGATTCGTCTCAAACTTATGAACATGGAGAAAGCTCTGCTCTCCAGGAGGGTGTTCCAACTGCCCTTACTGCATGACCCAAAACTGCCGAGGTGCCACCTGCAGCTGCAAGGCGATGTCAGGGCCTATGTCGGCACACAGAATATGACTGACCTCCATTCATGCACGCTCCAATCCAAAATTCGATATTCGATTGGCTTGCAAAACCACTGAGCTTCGACAATGTGGGAGTGGTGTCACAAGTTGAATTCGTATGTCCACAAATTCTACTGCCAGAATGACAACAGTGACATTTCGTGCAGGCTTGCCATCAGTGCAGTACTTTGCCAAAACAGGTGATATCACCGCAGAACCTTGATCTGTGACAGCATACATAAAATGGATCCGCCTCCAAGAAGTCACTCCAGCAGCCTGCAGTGGACAAGCAGACATACAGCCATGGCCACTGGCATGCAGCGGTCCTCTACAAGCAATTCTGAATGAGGCACATCAACCTTTAGCCCCATTAACCTTGTGGTCAGTTTCTCTGCAGTACATCATGTTCTGATGGCACTACAACTATGCACTCGGAACTACGTGTTGCATGAAGCATTGTGGGAGCCACACACAGCAAGCATCACCTGGTTGTAGTGTTTTGTATCCTTCTTCCCCTTCTTTTTCATGCGGGCCTTTGCCTCTGCTGCAGCCAACTCTGTTGCGCTGGGGAGCTTTTTCTGGGACTTCTTCTTTGACTTCAGCACCTGGACAACGACAAGCCCATCGTTGTTGCAACATGCACCAAATGCATCTGAAGATTGCATGCCCCAGAGTATGACGACTGCAAATGATCAAGGTGACCACTTATTTTCTTGAATGCAGTCAGTGTGTCGCAAGAACAATAACTTCAATGGCTCTGTACATCGTAAGCCAACTCGAGTTTGCTGTGAGATAGCTGCACTTGTTGGGAGGTACAGGATGGGCTGTGCCAGTGGCCACTGTGCTGACAGGTCCGTGGGAAACACTAATCAACAAAACTTGGACAACACCTTGCAAAATTTTGTTCCGGCCAAATGCAAAATTTTGTTCCAGGGTCAGACCTCATAAATCTGTTCCACAAGTGCCGTGACAACTGTCCAAGGCGTTGGACACAACAGAGTGTCCAATAAAGTGAGGATGATCAGTACACAAGACGTGGCACACTGACAGGCAAACTGCATATCTGTGCCACAAAGGACTACTGCCGAAACCTCTACACCTTGGACCACTAAAACACAACCACCAGATTCAGCACAAGAATGTGTCAGCGGCTGACCTGCCCAACACGATCAGGCCGTTCAGCCCACTATCAGAAGCCCAATGTGGAGTGGTTGTCTCCCATTCCTTTTTCAATTGTTCCTTTGCTTTCAGGAGGACAATATTGTCCTCAACTAAACCATGAGCTCAGATGTCCCCGTTGCAAATGTACTTGTAGATTCATCAGTGTGATAAAGAGACTTGACTCTGTTTAATGCTGAACGTCCAGGCTATCTGATAACAACAGCAGCAACACACTCTCCCCAAGCTCCAGCAAAATCTGTTGATGATATCACCTTTGCTGCATCTGAATCCTCCTTTGCAGTGGGAGCTTGTACAGATGCGCTTCCATTTTCTTTCTCTCCTGCTTTTGCATCTTGTGCAGCTACAGTTGTTGCAGTGTCTCCAGTTGCAGGCTCAGATATAGACAGCTTCTTCTTGGTGCTCTTCTTCTTCCTCAGGCCGCTGCTGCCCTCCCCATCTCCTTCTTTCTTGCTGGACTCGTCAGGGGCGATGCCCATCTCTGCAAGCATGGCCTCCAACTCTGCCATCTCCTTCTTTTTGAGCTCCTGCGATCAGCAACATGCTGTCCTTATATTGCCTTCATCAATGCAGTTGGTCTCTTACTCAATGTAATGGAGATACATGGCCAATGCATCACATTGTTGACACACTTTGTTCATTCTACTATCAACCAGACATTGGATTGGGATGCCCCGTGCTTGCTTATGATGAAATTGGCAACTTTGCACTCTATCACACGTTGTCTCATTAGGCTGTATACCAACAAATAAAAGAGCTCTGCATTGCCATCTGACGTGTTGTTCAGCGTTTCTGCCCATGTAACAATAACTTGACACCAACCAATTACTATCTCACACAACAATCACATAAATGGCGATCTGCTGTTAAATTTGATCACAATGTGGCCAGTCCACATCGCCAGTTCTTACTTTTTTGGACAATTGACGCCCTAGATTTGATTCACTCCTGTTGTATGTGGGCAAAGGTTCCTGCTCCTGTGCTTCCCCATCCTCTCCCGCATCATCCTCACCATTTTCTGGTACAGCATTGAAGCACACATCACAGGCCATCGATGCAAAATCCACTTGTAGCATGTAGGAGGGGGCACATTCAAGACAAATCCCCAGGCGCTGGCTTCAGGTCAGTCAGCACAGTTTGTGCAAAAACCAATGGAAATGAACAACACAATAAATCACTGTTTTGGGGATGATAGGAGATTTAACAACACTGTTCAGGCCACCAATGCACTGCTGAGCCTAGTCAGGGCAAAAGCCGATCAAAAAACAAAGCACTGGCATGGACAAGAAGCAAGCAAATGATCAGCATGCTGTGCACACCAGCATAAATCCCATCAATGCGTTCCCCTGGTGCAGGGGACAGGCAGCCAGGCGTTGCTACACAATGGATTTCCAACTTGTACACAGAATTGCATAAGCCATGCCCTGCCAGTCCCCCTTCTTTCAACTTCCTTTATCTGCTAAAAGCAAGAAACTGTTTCTCTGTGCACTCACTATGGGAACAAACACCTGCGTACACAGCACACACTTGGGCCCTCAAAGTCTGCACCTGAGCCACCTCAGGGGGCACCTCCACAGGGTTCAGCACTGCCAACCTGTGAGATTCTCGGCTTCAGCATCAGCTTCTGCTTCACCCTCCGGACCAAGCTCCACACCAAACTCCTTCTCCAAATCAATTTCCTGTGCATGCAGCACCAGAGCTCACACCTCAAGACATTTTGTTGCTCTAGAGTAGGGTGTCCACTGTACAGCACAACATCCTCTCTAGCAGTGTGTCTCAACCAAAAGATCATCTTCTATTCTGGTAAACGAGTTCAGCTCCTTCAAAAGATAAGCTGATGGTCTGTTGTTGTGAGCTCGTTTGTCCCGCACTTCGAGAATTACACTTGTGTGAGAAGGTGAAGATCCTAAAAGCCCATGCTCAGGAGACATCCTGTGACATCCTAGTATCACTGGCTTCACTCGTTGTACTGTGTTGATGCACAGAGAGACCTTTCCACCATCTTGTGCGGTGTGGCAAGGAGTCTTTGCCCTTTTACCAGAAACGAAAATATAGGTCGGGCAATCTCCAGTGTCCGCTGTGTGACCTTATCTTGCAAGAGCCATTACCTCCTCACTGTCGTGGCCATCTTCCTGATTGGCGTCCTTGTGACCTGTGGATGGGTCCTCAGCTGCCTCCTGGGCCACAGAGGGAAACATCAAAAAGGCTGTGCCACAGGATCCTTAATGACACAATAAAGTAACAAGCAACTGACACCTCGTTGGCAATCCCACCATTCAGAGAATCACACTGGTGCTGCAAGCTCCTTGCTGAAATTTACAAGCCAAGTCTTGCGGGTATGCTAACCCAAAGCACAAGGGTTCGCACCACCACATTGGTTTACAACTTCACGGCGGGGCTAGCAACATTGTATCGTGCTGCCACTCTAACAGCAGCATCACCCGCATTAACCGCAGAGAACTAGCATGCCGTCACGATCATCGGCACGCCCTGACGCGGCCGGTCCGCTTGCGCTGTCTTAAGGTCCCAGGTGCCGCATTTCAAGCTCCAAATGCCTCGCCACGGTGGCAAGTTGCAAACAGGGGAATGACGGGTCAGCGAGCAAACGCGGAGAAAACAAACGTTTCGGAGCCACAGCCGCCCGCCATCGCCCCAAAGGTGCAGCGGCACTGTTTTGGCCCGCGAGGACACCGCAATTCGCGGAACTCATCTCCCAGGCGGCCCGCAGCGCGGACACACCCCTGGTCCCCGCGCGCCGCATCCGGGCAGCCCGCATCGCGCTTGACGTACTGGACCGACCCCTGCGTCGAAGTCGTCCTCGTCATCGTCGCAGTCGGCCCAGTTGCTGACGTTCAGCTGCGGCCTGCTGAAAATCTCCCTCTCCAGCTGCAGCGAGTCCTGCCCTCCCGCCGCTCCCCTTCCCCCCTTCTTCTTCCTCTCTGACTCCCTCGCCTTCTTCTTCTTGGCCTTTCTAACCTCGAGGGCAGCGAAGGCGTTGCTCAGCGTCAGACTCATGCCGCCCGCGGGCTGCCCCTCCTCGGCCCCCCACCCCCCCCTGCGCCTCCGCGCCTGACGACGACTATCCGCCGACAATGGCCCCACAGGCACGGCAAGAAGCGGTGGGTGCCGAGGGCCTGGGAATTAGAGCCCGGCCAGCAACAGACGGGTTGTGCGCTCCAGCGGCCGACGTCCAAGCGCGCTGGCCAAGGGGCGTCCGCGGTCGGTCTGGCCCGAGATCGGTGCGTGAAACCAAAACAAACCAGGTGCGGAAAAGGCCGGGAATGAGAGGGATTGGGGTTGGGTGCGACGGTGCTTGGGGCATCTTTATCGGTCGGTGGTATTGCACCGGTGGTGCTATCAGGAACGGTTGTCATTGGCTCCCGTGCCACCTTACTAAGGCGGTATTTGTTGAATAGCACCGGTGTTATTGCTCCCCTGCGCACATCCGCAATGGTGGGTGCTATTCTTACGCCGAATAGCATCATGGCTGCACTACAATGTTCTGCGGGAATAGCACCGGGTGCTATTCTGGGGTGCTATTTGGGCTCCAGCGGTGCTATTCGGTTGCTGTTGCTCCCCAACCGCTTACAGCATCTTTATCGGTGGGTGCCACTGTCCCGGCGGTGCTATTCGGCTATTCGAATAGCACCGCACGTCAAAAGACCATCATTAAGGGGTCGGACTACATTCATCCGTATTCCTGGCCGGGTGGCATTGGTAGTGCACTGGGACATCCCCTCAGAGGTACCCGTTTGGATCCCCGGTCAGATATCCTCTGTACCATCCGCACTAAAACAGGGGGTAAGTGACAATTTGGCACTTTGGGAGTTTGTGTGCTTGGCAACTGTAATGTTCGGGTCGCCAATTAATAGGGCTCATCAAAAAGTTAGTGCATTAATGATATCACTCAGCTGGCGACCCGTGACGTCTAGATATGGTGCAGAGGGGATGTCGACAGCCTCAGCACCTTCGCCAAACTGATCATCACAAAATTGGGAGCTCAAGGCACCCAGAACGCAGGGAGATGACTTTGACGGCAAAGATAGATGATGGCAACTGCATAATACGCCCAAAGAGTTCACTGAGCTACTATACAAATGATGAGCGCAACGGCAATACGTGGTAGCGCATGACACTGAGACACATGAGTCAGACACGCCCAGAAAACGCGTTGGAGTACTAAGGAGCACCCAGGCTGCCACTGAATGCGTGCATTTGTTTAGGGGCAGCCCGCCTGGCGGCCTGCCGTGGACCGCCGCGAGACGGAGCCAGGAGAGGGGCGTGGAGGCGCCACGTGGTTGTTTGATGGGAATATGCCCCGTGGGCCACAACGTGGTTGCTGACCGCGGGAAGTGTGGTTGTTTGGTGGGAATGTGGCCCTTGGGGCACCACGTGGTGGTTGATTGTGGGCAGTGGGGCATCCTGGGTTGAGTTGTGGTGAAGCGGCGGGCGTGGCAGAAGGATTCCGGGTATCAAAAGAGCATCTCTTAGGAATGGAAGTATTTTGCCAGAGGGGTACGGACAACGCCGGGGGAGTGTCCATTTTTGCACCCAGCATGGCAGCTGTATAACGGTTGCGCAGCGTTTGCATGTGCCTCTCTCGGCAGTCTAGGCACTCAGCCTGCCTGCCTGACTCCCCTGGCCGTGTGCGCAACGTTCGACACAGCCTAAGCGCAATAGCGCTCGACCTTTTCAAAGGTCGCGGCCACTCTGGGCCTTGTTTTCAAGGCGTTTCCTTGCCGTTCGAGACCACACCTCCAGCGTCTTCTAGTTGCCGACCAGAACGCGCCAAGCCTCGTCTTTGCACAGCCTTGTCGAGGAGGACAGAAGCGTTTCCTGTGTCATACACCGACGTGCTGTGGACAAGACAGCCCTGACCCGTGGACCTGACCTTCGTTTCGACTTGGTCGACCGTTGAGGAGCAGTTGCGACCGGTTGCGGCGCTCAGAGCGGCAGCTGTGAGAGGATCTACAAGCGTATTTGCATGGCTGGCTGGCAGTTGGACGTTTGGTACCCGCTTCAAGCCTGCCCTTGCCGTCGCCTCTGTTTTGTTGGTCGTGTCGGCGTGCCAAGCAGTTCTTCATGAAGAGCCGGTTCGCGCGAGGGGCAAAGCTTGTTCGTTGAGTGCACCCTCAACTGATGTGGTGCTGAGGCTGTCGACATGGCTCAGCTGCCCGTTTGAGGGTGACTTTACTGCGCTGTCTCCGGGAACGACGGCCAGAATGGACCGCCGTTCTTTGCAGTAAACAATAGGTTGAGACGGTTTGATGATATCGAATTTGTGCATCTGCGCGTTCTAATGCACAGCAAGTCGGTGGTTGGACTGTGGCAGTGCCTAGGGTTCTCATGAAACGAGTCGCGGACACTGCCTTGTTCGGGCGAAAAAGCAGCTGATGGCAGCCTCCTCGCCTCGATATATGAGAATTGTTGATGACGACGATGACAATTTGGCAACTGGCGACCGTATCGTAGCCGTATCGGAGGCAGAAAGTGTGGCCCGGCGCTATTTGTCACAACCCCAACCCCAAGTCAAGCCATATTGGGCAAACCCCTTTGGAAGGCGTGGACGGGGCGAAAGAAGCGCCGAAAAAACGTGCCAAGGACAAGGGCCCCCTTGGCTCCCCCCCTCATCGCCTTCGGCGAGAGCGAGGCAGTGCAGGAGGTTGGGCAGCGCGCGTGGTGCACGCAGCCGCGACAGGCGCCCGGGGCCCCTGGCCTCCCTGCCACGCCAGCCGCGTCAAAGCCCTCTCCCCTGGCCCGCCGCTGCCTTGTCGCCTGCTCCCAGGTCAACCCCCTCTTGCCGGGGCCATCCGACTCGACTCAACGCGTGGGCGGCTCGAGTGCCCGGAGTTCCACACACTTTGGGCCCGTCGGTCGTCCAAGATGACCGCAGGTGAGGGTGCGGAGGATCGGGGCCCGACGGGCCCACCTCGCATCCGCGCGGCTGGGACTGCCGCGCAGGGTTGTCCCGTCGGAATGCGGGGTGAAGGGTTCGGAACCTCAACGGGCCGTTCGCCGCTGCCCGCTGTCGCGCCCTGTCGACCGCTCTCGATCATGATTCCGCTTGCTCTGCGCGCCTGCTCCCTGGATTGTGCGCGCGATTGCTCTCATGCTGTCGGGGCGACGAGTGGCGCACACGGCTGCCGGGCGTCCACGGCTGCTTCGACTTCGCGCGCGCGGCAAGGGTCCTCCTCTCGCAGATGCCTGCCCCTTGCGCCGCCGAGCTTGGTCGACGAACCGACGAGCCAACGAACCTTGCTCGCGTCACCCGTGGGTCTTTGGCTCAACCTCCCGCCGCGACGCTCGCCCCCTCGGCGCGTCGGCGGCTTGCCGAAATGGATCCGCGATGGGGCCCGCGGCCCACGGGAGCGCGCGCCTGGCGAGCGTCGCTCGATCCGATTCCCTTACGTGGCTGGTGGCCCTGTAATCCTCGCCATCTTTGTACGACAGTTGTTGCCCAGGGTGGCTATGCGGGGCGCTAGTCTGAGGCCGCGGTGCGCTTAAGGGCGGATGTTGGATGGCCGGGGCGTGGGGGCTTTGGCCTGCGTTTCTGCGAGCGCGGGGCAAGCGATGGCGGTCCTGTGTGCGCCGGTGCTTGTTGAATTTTGCGCGAACGACGCTCCAGGGGCCCAAGTGGCCCGCGTTTTGGGCCCCGTGGTGTTGCCGTACGTGCGGCTTTCTGGACGGACCTCCCTTCAGCGACGGACCTGGACCCATCGTCGCTGTGGGTTGACTTGCCTGGTGAAAGGGCGAACCCCATGGGACAGGAAGGGCCGCAGGTGGTTTCCCGCCCCATCACTTGGGGCTTGCTTTGAGGGTGCTGTCAGGGGGGCCACCCGAGGGGATGCAGGCTTCTGGGCGCGGGCGCAGGGGACAGTGCTCGAGGCCTGCGTGTGGATTTGGGCCCCTGAGGGGTGGAGTAACTTGGCCCCAGGGTGCTCTGTGGGGGAGGCGATGCTGACACATCTGCCATCTGCAGTTGCGGGTGCAGGGATGAGGACGATGTATGACGCCTTTGAGGACTTCAAAGGGAGACGACTGGCTGTTCTTCGCGCGTTGACGACTGAGTGAGTATCGAGGTTGAGCTCGGAATTTGCAGATCGAGAAAGTCAGTCTCTGTTCCATGACACTCAAGTGGCTGGGGTGAGGCTGATGGCCACCCAGACGCTTGACCTGGCGTGCTGAAGCCATTCTCTGGCTGCAGCTTTGACAAGTTCTACCAGCTTTGCGACCCAAACCACGACAATCTGTGTTTGTATGGCTACCCAAATGGCAAATGGAAAGTGTGTCCTCCATCGGAAGAAGTGCCAACAGAGCTGCCGGAGCCGACCCTTGGAATAAACTATGCGAGGGATGGAATGCAGGTGACCACTGTCACAACTGTCATACATGGGGGCATTGCAAACACTGCATTGATGAAAGCAAAATGTTTGCACGATGTTGCTGTCACTTCTGTGGCCTTATTCTTGGTTTGTGATTTGCTGTTTCTCTCCCTGCCACCAAACTCACATAGACTGATTGCAAGTTCTGACAAAGGCCATTTGCATCGTCAGGCCTTGTCTTACCTGCGACTATGTGGTTCAGTCCCTTGCCAAAAGATGACTGTAGTACCGATGCACATTCAAGCCAATGACGTCTGTTGCAAGCAAAGTGTAGTTGAGTGAGATGTGCACTGCTGCCCGAATGCATGTGCCACACAAGAGCATGGTCATGTTGATCCTGACAGGTGCTGTTCTTGCTGATGGATACAAAGCAGTGCTGTGGGGCTCAACTTCTTGTTCTTATTGGACAAATGCATTCAACATGGATGATGAGTGAGCTGACAGAGCCTCTGGATAATGTTAGACTACAATGTGGTGACGTTATGCTTAATGAAACATCACAGAGACAAGCAGGGCAGTGTGTGACCCTCACACGTTTTGGTGACGAGTGATATTTTTGATGCACAGTGGGGAACATTGTTCTTCCCTTTCAGCAGTTGTTGCAACAGCACAGTGTTGCACCTGCAGAGTTGTGAATCTCTTCTGTATTTCTGTCAGAGAGAAGATTGGCTGTCTCTGGTGTCCATATACTCTGACGCATGGCTGATGTCGCTTGCCTTTTTCACTGGATCTCGCCTTGAGAAGCCGCAGAGGTGAGGCAGTTTGTGGTTGGAAATGTGCCTGGACACTTTTTCTTTGTTGTGTATTCAACAAAGTGTTGCCCATTCGCATTCTGTGGAAAGCAATGTGACCTGCAGATACTTGTTCATTGTTGTTTTTGCCCAATGTTGTGCTTGCAGATCATCCTGAAAGCAGCTTAGTGCTTATGGTAGAATGGATCCTGCAGCAGACACTGCTGCATGCAGCAAGCATGTTTGGACTTTCCCATTGTTTTGGACCGTGCCAAGACAAGTCTTCCAGCAATAGTTACAGATGTTTCATTGTCTTCCTGACATTGGATGGAAAATCCGAGTCAGTGGCCATTCATGTTTTGCCATCGTGGGGTAGAGAAACTTTAAAACTGAAGAAATTGTTGCACGGACTTTTGGCTGTCGTAGTCCACCTGAAATACAGATAATCCTATTGCTGCCACCATGCCATCCCACAAAGTGCTGTTGGCATGCACATACACTATATCCAGATGCAGCTGCTCATTCCCAACCCAGACAGTCTCTTTACATTGCAAATGATTCTTATTGTCGCATGTGGCATTTGATGCTTAGCACGGAGTTGCTCCAGTAAGTGGTGTGCTTGCATGCCAACTGCTGTGAAGGACTCCACAAACTTGAAACGTGAAATGTGTTGCACCAGTTATTTGAGATTTCCCAAGTGTCAACAGCTGCAACGCATACATTATGTGCATTGCTCATGGAGCTCGGATCAGAGGCTTTGGTGGAATGTTTTGCAATGCAGCTCCAGGCATAGGCCAATTGTTTCACAGCTTAAACACTTGCTGGACATTGGCTGACAGTCAGCATCATGCAAGGGTTTTATCTGTCTTTGTGCAGCTAACAAAGGCATCCGTGCACTTCAGTACAACTCCTGGATGAAGCATTAGCTGTTGTGCACACTTTCACATTTGTTTGTCATTGTTGTGCAAGCATCATTTTTATCAAGCGATATAATTATTTCAGCACTGTATCCATGACAGTCCCTGGTATGCGTGCATGGCTGTGACAGTCGGCTTTGCAATGGATGTTGCATTTTGTAGTGCAAATCTTGGCGGTGCGCAGCCCATTGCTAGCCAGTCGCATGATAATATTGTGGCTGATGACCTCTGTGCCTTTATGCTCATGTTTCTGACGGTTTCCCTTGTATGTCCAGTTTGCTTTTTCTTTGATTGATGTCCGCACACTGAAAAACCTTGGTGGGATGGCGTGTCTCTGACATTGCTTCAGTGCATGCAGAGGTATTGCTTTGCCATATGCAGCTATTGCAGTCACAACCTTCACATACTGGCATGCATCATGTACATGTACAGACTTGTGCATTCCAAACGCTGACATGCCTGTGCCCTGGGGTCGTGCTCCAGAGTGGAACTTTTCAACATGATCAACCGCCTGCCCACATGCTACGAGATAGTGTCTGGGCGGTCGAGTAACCATACATGGCAGCCAGAGCTTCAGCGGTTGTCACCATCGTTGCGGCAGGTAGGGGTCTTTGTAGGCATTGTCTGCCATCTCATGAGCAACAGTCTGGGCTGAACACATGGTGTCAGGCAGGAACTTCAGATTGGGGTCTTAGTTTTGGTCCTATTTTCTATGTTTAGGCTTTGAGCTTTAGGGTCAACCAAGGGGTTCCAGCATTGGGGGCTAGTGAGACATGGGCAAATGAATGGGACACAATCGTGTCCTATGCACTGTCACTCTGCACAGTGACATTCAAGTTCGTTGTGGGTTTGGCTGTCTTGTGCTGCGACTGTTGATTGTGCTGAATGCCTATGATCGTGCTTGGTTGAATGCCCTTCACTGAAACCTGACTGCAGGGCCAGTTCTGAGAACAATGTCTGCACACTGTACAGATGTCAACTGTGAATCAGGGTCAAGGCCAGGGCCACATGCCAACATGGAACATTCTTCCGCACCAGGTGCTCATTGTGTAAGATGACAACCTGCTGGCCTGCATTTTACACACAGCGAAACTCAGAGAGACAGCGCCACAAACTGGTGGTGGGGTGTCTCCATTGTTTTGTCTATCATCGATGGTTGGCCATTCCCAAACACCCCTCTTGCAGCACACCATCGCTCATGTTGGCCCATCCATGTCAGTGAGTGTTAATGCTGCCTGTTTCTGGACAGGGCAGTGTGCTTGAGGTCTTTGTGGTAGTCGCTGCCTTGGGTTATTTCAGTGTTTGTAGTGCCATCTAACTACTGACTCACTGCTTCCGTTAAATTGTAGATTGTGTTATCAAGTTTGTCGTGGGGGGAGCCCAGGAGGTGTGGGTGGGGCTAGCCAGCAGAACAGCTACGGAAGGTTGTAAATTGTGTGCACAAAGCAGTACATACAGATGATGTGCATAGAATGACGTTCTGACATGATGTTCTGTAGTTCTGTAGTGATGTTCTGTAGTTGAGTGGTCATAAACATATTACTAGTTCTATCAGGTATGTAAGCACCAGATAGCAAAGACAAGATGGGATAAGTGCATGAGATATAAATTGATGAACATGGGACTATCACTGAATCATGGCAATTGCTGACCTGCTTATTGCATTTTGATGGAAATGTCATCTGCAGTCACAAGCTTTTACTTTCCCACTGGGACATGGACAAACAGTTTCTATGGATTGTGGGGCCCTACGTCACGATTGCTATTAGTATACCTGGTGTGGGGGTACATGCATCACATTATTCTGCAGGGATCACCTCTTCTTTAATCTCACGTGATAAGATGAATTTCACTAGTCAACCCCACAACATCATGGCACCC